TTTGTTCTTTATTTCCCAGTTTAACAATCCACCACACCATACTAACTTTGTTCTTTATTTCCCAGTTTAACAATCCACCACACCATACTAACCCTATTTTTTCTTATTTTTATTTATTCGACTCTTGTTACTTGTTTCTCAGTTTCTATTTATCTCTAAGTTAAATTTTCTTTACATTTTAGTTCCTCCTGTCATTGAACCGTTTATTATCCCTACTGGACTTGAGGAAGGATCTCGATCCAAGATTCTGTGTTCCGTTACTAAAGGTGACACTCCAATCAGGATTTCTTGGCTGAAAGATGAGAAACCGATCCCTTCGTACCTCGAAGTTAATGAAGCTGCAATAGACGACTTCTCCACGTTTCTTACCTTCCCCCGGCTCCTGCTGAAACACACGGGAAACTATACATGTGTAGCCGAGAACAAGGCCGGGTCAACAAATTATACTGCGCCGATGATAATTTATGGTTAGTGATATATTATAACTTCAGTTTCTAAAAATAAATACAGGTTTGAGCTTCAGTTGCGAGTTATGTCATTGACAGATTTAGACAGAGATATTGTCATTGACAGATTTAGACAGAGATATTGCCATTTACTGATTTAGATAGAGGTGTTATCGTTCACTGATTTAGTGAGAGATGTTGTCATTTACAGATTTAGATAGAGGTGTTATCGTTCACTGATTTAGTGAGAGATGTTGTCATTTACTGATTTAGATAGAGGTGTTATCGTTCACTGATTTAGTGAGAGATGTTATTGTTCACTGATTTAGTGAGAGATGTTGTCATTTACTGATTTAGTGAGAGATGTTATCGTTCACTGATTTAGCTAGAGGTGTTATCGTTCACTGATTTAGTGAGAGATGTTATCGTTCACTGATTTAGCTAGAGGTGTTATCGTTCACTGATTTAGATAGAGGTGTTATCGTTCACTGATTTAGATAGAGATGTTATCGTTCACTGATTTAGTGAGAGATGTTGTCATTTACTGATTTAGCTAGAGGTGTTATCGTTCACTGATTTAGATAGAGATGTTATCGTTCACTGATTTAGTGAGAGATGTTGTCATTTACTGATTTAGCTAGAGATGTTATCGTTCACTGATTTAGTGAGAGATGTTGTCATTTACTAGAGATTTTTACCACATCACTGATTTAGCTAGAGGTGTTATCTTTCACTGATTTAGTCAGAGATGTTACCACATCACTGATTTAGATAGAGGTGTTATCTTTCACTGATTTAGTGAGAGATGTTGTCATTTACTAGAGATTTTTACCACATCACTGATTTAGTCAGAGATGTTACCACATCACTGATTTAGTCAGAGATCTCACCAGAACATGTTATTCCTATTCTGATTATAACAACTCCGGTCTTTGCTTGACCAAGAGAGTGTCTGTTAACTATCTTTCTTTACATTATAACAATATTTAACACTTTGAGTTTTATCTTCGCATAGCCTAGAGCCGAATATTTGCCTGTTTTAGCTTGTGTTCTCTGTAGTGTAAGTGAGTTTGTAAATATCAGTGATAAGTATGTGTTCTCTCTAGTTCCTTTGTTTGTAACTGTTTAACATATAACTGTAATACTTTAATTTCAAATGCATATTCTTATTACATTCATAACTATTACCTTTTCAAAATTTGTCATACATTTTTATACATTTTGGATATTTTTAAATGAAAATATTTGAATGCTATCTTAAACTTATTAATATATTTTCAGCGCCACCTAGATGGATAAATGAGCCCACTGAGACTTCGGCAATCTTAAACCATGACGTCATCATCAACTGTCAAGCTGAAGGATTCCCCCAACCTGTGATTTCTTGGAAAAAGTCAATAGGTATGATGAGAACGTGTTAGTGCTGCCATCTCATGGAGATACTGGGTTATATTTCAAAAAATATTTTTATATTTGGTTTGGTTTGCTGTTAAGCTCAAAACTACATAATGAGCTATCTATGCTCTGCCCCATCACGGGTATCGAAACCCAACTTTTAGCGTTGTAAGCACGCAGACTTTCCGCTGAGTCACTAGAGAGGACTATTTTTGTGTACAAACTTTCAGTTGTTTAAATACTAATCTCAGCATCAAAAAAACTAGATTTTGTTGCGATCATTATTTTGCATGATGTGGAAGTAATCCAAGGAAGATGAAATTCAGGGGAGCTGCTCGTCACTAGTTTCTCCTGGTGAACGTTGAATGTTGAAAAATTGGTGTGAACAAACTGTTGATAAATGATCGTACATACATGAAGCACAATCATTTCATTCACAGACAACATTCCAAGCCTTAAACTCCTAAATTTGACTTTCTAATACCTTCTTACATTAATCTCTTTATTTGTGTCTAATGCTGGGATTGTACTCCAAACTTTAGCGTTGAAAGGGTACCACACCTAACGCTGAGCACTGTAAATTATATTTTGTTTAAAGTCGGTCGTTAATCTTTATATAAAATTTCTTCAAAAACTCCACAATTCGTTCTTACTTTGAGACAGAGCAAAAGCTTATTTTCACTTATATTCGTTAGAGGGACGTGTCTTGTTTTATTGAGAAAAAGTCGGTAAAAATGGAATATTAAATGTGTTACAGTTAGGGTCTTGTCTTGTTTTATTGAGAAAAATTCAGTAAAAATGGAATATTAAATGTGTTACAGTTAGGGTGTTATCTTGTTTTATTGAGAAAAATTCGGTAAAAATGGAATATTAAATGTGTTACAGTTTGGGTGTTATCTTGTTTTATTGAGAAAAATTCGGTAAAAATTGAATATTAAATATGTTACAGTTTGGGTGTTGTCTTGTTTTATTGAGAAAAAGTCGGTAAAAATGGAATATTAAATGTGTTACAGTTAGGGTGTTGTCTTGTTTTATTGAGAAAAATTCGGTAAAAATGGAACATTAATGTGTTATATTTTAATTTATAGTTTCGTTTTACTTTCTTGCGAAGAGTAGATTAAAATGGCATGTTAACGTGTTAAAGTTGCGGTGTTTATTTCTTCGGAAATAAAGGTAAAATAGAATATGAATGTATTGTAGTTAAAGTCAGGATGTTATATTGTTTTCTGTTAAAATGTTAATGACATATGAACAGTGATCATTGTACGTAGATAAAGTCAGGATGTTATATTGTTTTCTGTTAAAATGTTAATGACATATGAACAGTGATCATTGTACGTAGTTAAAGTCAGGATGTTATATTGTTTTCTGTTAAAATGTTAATGACATATGAACAATGATCATTGTACGTAGTTAAAGTCAGGATGTTATATTGTTTTCTGTTAAAATGTTAATGACATATGAACAATGATCATTGTACGTAGTTAAAGTCAGGATGTTATATTGTTTTCTGTTAAAATGTTAATGACATATGAACAATGATCATTGTACGATGAGACAGTTCAAACTTCTTATTTAAATCTTTTGTTACGTAATGATTCAACAAGACAATTGCCAATCTAACTGTTTTACTTAAGGTACCAATGTGATGATACTTTTTAGGGTCATTGTCCAGTGACTATGTCACTATACGCACCAACGCTCACATCAACGTCATGGTCAACGGTTCTCTGGCCATTCGGAAAGTAGAAAGGAGTGACGCAGGTTTTTATATGTGTCAGGCAGCCAATGAAATAGAATCTGGACTTAGTACAGTGATCAGATTGCACGTGAAAGGTACGAAATGCATAGTTTTGTAACATAGTTACTACTTAACATATCGTATGTGTTGTAAGACGACTCTTCATCTCATACTTCCAAGTGCAATGTAGCTGTGTAGGAGAGATATCACAGAAATTAGGACCCATACATCGGTAGGGATACACTGTCTCTAACGTTTAGCTATTTGGAATATTAAGCCTAAAACGTTCCATATGTAGAACTACCATTCACAATCTGGCTTGTGCGAAGGTAGTTACAGATGACCATAAATGAGCAATAAGTAAAAGTTATCCATTTGAAGTTTTTAGACAACTGTTTGTCGGATAACAGATTTATTTCTCCACAACGTTTCGTCTGTTATTCCACAAACAGTTGTCTCGAAACTACATATTCTAAAATTTATCTACACAAGTCCAGATCCGTTAATGATTAGTTATGTTATCAGCTTAATAAAACGTATTAATCATGGAATAAAAACGACAACAATCATTCAACTGCAATTTTGAATTTTCCCCTCGAAATTATAAATTCGAAGAACCCTCATTTCACACTCCAGATAAAACCCGCTCTCAATTGGACGAAATAACTTATAATTTTATTTAGATTAGTTTTCTGTTTTATATTGTCAAATGAAATATGTTAGATGTTACCAGTTTAATGTGCCAAGAAGTCCAACTGAATGGAACGTTACATGTCTTCAGACTAGGGGGGGGGGGGGTTATATACCCACAGTTTTGCATAAGTTTCAAATGTAATAAGATTAAACCCTTTTTAAACACTGTAAAATGTAATGAGACTTTGTTACATATTGTGTACAGTGTAATGAAATTACACCCTTATTTTTATATTATCTAAAAAGAATATATTTATATATATCAACGATATATATAATAAATAATATAAAGAAATTATACCCTTGCTACGTGTTATACAATCTAAAGAGATTATACCCCTGTTACGTGCTATACAATCTAAAGAGATTATACCCCTGTTACGTGTTATACAATCTAAACAGATTATATCCTTGCTACATATTATACAATCTAAAGAGATTATACCCTTATTACATATTATACAATCTAATCAAATTATACCCTTGCTACATATTATACAATCTAAAGAGATTATATCCTTGTTACGTGTTATACAATCTAAAGAGATTATACCCCTGTTACGTGTTATACAATCTAAAGAGATTATACCCCTGTTACGTGTTATACAATCTAAAGAGAT